TGGTGGTGGTGGAGTTAAAACACCCCCATGTCCCTTTCTCAAATCAAATCAAATCTCAATAAAGGAGGAGAAGTATATAAAAAATAATGCCTCTCGCAGAGGCAAAAGAGGGGCAACGAAATTGAAAAATGGGAGCAGCATAGTGTGCGTATATACTTCTTTTGTCCCACACCGTTTGATTTTGTTGAGTGAATGCCTTGCTGAGAGTATAAGAGGGGCAGCCGATCGTCTTCTTCTTCTTTGGTGCAGGATAGTCCTCCGGCCCGAGACCCAGTCGGTCCGCCACTTTGCACATTGCGGGGGTTATCACCCCATCCCGCTGAGCAATCTCCTCCTCGATCGCAACGAATTTCTGTGCCCTTGCCAGCACCTCAACGTAGTTATTCCCGAGGTTTCTTTTCAGATCCCGGTAGAGATCCCCGGTGGTGAGTGTGTTGGTGAAGAGAGTAATACCGGGGTTTATTTTATTTTATTTTTCCCTCTTTCAAGATTTTTTTACAAAGAGTTTTTCTCATAGTTGATGGAATTAATGGTTGGACTTGCTTAGAAATGCGATGATGCTAAATGGAGAAGAATATATTGATGGTGAAATTAAGGTAACAAGCACAAAGAAGAAAACACAAAAAAGTAACATGAAGAAAATGGGGAGAAGTGAAAAAAAATAAAAAGAAAATATAACAAAAGTAGAGTAGAGTGAGAGCAATATCTTTTATAAAAATAGAGCGATTAAGAAGAAAAATACATAAAAGGGAACGAGAATAAATAAGGGGAAGAAGAAGAAAATAGCAAAGCATCTGTCTCGGCATAACATTTTAGGATGTTTTTACTTGGACTGTTTTCAATCTAAGACCATACCGCACCAGACTTAAACAAATCAGACCAAACTAGACCAGACTTAAAAAGACCAGACCAGACTTGACTTCCGTAGATATAAAATACACACAGACCAGACATTTACCAGGCCAGACCAGACCAGACTTAAACAAACTAGACCAAAGCAGACTTAAAGTATAATTCAAGAATGACATAACACACTTTCACATATTTTAGTCCCTTATTTTACATATTTAGAGAGACAATTCGTCTAAAAATGCAATTCGTGTAAATTTAAAAATTCTAATTGTTGATGAAGTTGAATGAATCACTGACAAGACTCAGAATGTTGTATTCAAAGAAGTGTTCAACGATGTTTATGTTTACATTAAATGCTTATTTACAATGTGATGGTTTCAACATATTTGTTGGAAGTTTTTTATCTTTTAAGTAATGCTCACTATTCTCATTTTGACCATAATATTATAAGTGTGTTTCGTTTAATGCTTTGATGTATATCAAGTTTACATGATGATAGATGATGTCATGAATTGATAGTGTGATTTGAATCACTAAGCACACATAAATTTGAAAGAAAAATTCTCAGACCGTGTATCGCATAAATTTGGTGAGTTTACTAGTCTTTTATAAAAATAGAGCGATTAAGAAGAAAAATACATAAAAGGTAACGAGAATAAATAAGGGGAAGAAGAAGAAAATAGCAAAGCATCTGTCTGGGCATAACGTTTTAGGATGTTTTTACTTGGACTGTTTTCAATCTAAGACCATACCGCACCAGACTGAAACAAATCAGACCAAACTAGACCAGACTTAAAAAGAGCGGACCAGACTTGACTTTTGTAGATATAAAATACACACAGACCATACATTTACCAGACCAGACCAGACCAGACTTAAACAAACTAGACCAAAGCAGACTTAAACAGACGAGACTAGCAAATTAAAGTCCAAGTAAAAACTTCCCTAGAAAAAACTCAGCTAGTAGAGTGAGAAATAGAATAGATAAATATGAAAAGAGAATAAAAACAAAAAGACAAAAAACGAGGAATAAAAAAGTATATAGGGATAAAACTAAAGAAATAAAAACCGAGAAGGAAAAATAAAAACACGGGACGATTTTGAGAAAATTTGTGAAAGATGAGATTTTTTATGTAATATTTTGAGAGCAAACACAAAAAGGGCCATATTCGATTACTAATAGAAGATTTTAGACTGATATTCTTTAGTGTCATTTCGGTGTTTGTGAAGTATATTCTTGTTAGGAAGTTTGGTATTAGGCAACAAAATGGTGGTGGTGGAGTTAAAACACCCCCATGTCCCTTTCTCAAATCAAATCAAATCTCAATAAAGGAGGAGAAGTATATAAAAAATAATGCCTCTCGCAGAGGCAAAAGAGGGGCAACGAAATTGAAAAATGGGAGCAGCATAGTGTGCGTATATACTTCTTTTGTCCCACACCGTTTGATTTTGTTGAGTGAATGCCTTGCTGAGAGTATAAGAGGGGCAGCCTATGGATCGATTAAAGCATACCTTTCTCGGCCTTTTGGCTAAGATCAAGTGTAGTATCTGTTCTTATCAGTTTAATATCTGATATGTGGGCTATTAGCCCACACGATATTAACTTTATTTTTTAAGGGAGAAGGCCCGCTAAGGCAGCTTGCTGCCTGGGCTTTCAGGCGTCGCCTTTGTGTTGCACTTCTGCATCGGCCTGGCCCAACCCACCAATTTCAGTTCAATATTTTGAAGTCTGTTGTTTATCTTTTAAAATAAAATAAAATTAAGATCATTAAAATGGGCCTTATTTGGACGACCTCTTCACGTGTACTGTAATGTAGTAACAAGAATTTTCTAGTACCAATGAAATATGATTTTCGAATTTATAAGCTTACTTCCCAACAATGTTGTACTTCATAACTTTATATGTCTAAGCTTGTCAATAGGTCGGGGACCCCTTTATATGAAATGTAAAGATAGGTACGCAACCTAAAACGGAAAATATATATTAACTTTTCAAAAAAAATTCAAGGTTTCTCATATTAGTACTTTTATCCAAAAAAGTATCGGTTCTCATATTAGCACTTTGTTTCTCTTATAATTTTCAACACACAAGACTAATGCTTTTTCGAATACTGAGTGGTTTGATATGCGTGTAAAATACTACCTCCATTCCAAATTGATTTGCAAATTTGACTTTTTTTTGTCAGACACTTTCATTGTATTTGCTTAATTAGGATTTCAATTTTTATATACTACGTATATTCTAATTTAGAGTTTACAACTTTGAAGACCTTTTAATGTAGTTTCTAGATATATAAATTTTAATTATTGATGGAGTATATAGACTCGGACCCCCGGGTCTCACGACTATTGGGCCCGGACAGCTGTCCACTCATGTTTAGTGGATGTCATTTATATCATTTGTATGTGCTAGATTAGTCTTTTATGTAGTTGGGCCTATCGGGCCCATATTAGCGGTCCGACCCATCGTTTCTCTATTTATACTCCCATAGGGAGCTCTTGTAACCCTAGAACACAACTCATTCATACATTACTATTCATTCATCTTCTTCCTCACATTAGCTCAAATCTCTCCATTTTATTATAGTTTGGATACTCCTATAATCCATCAATTATTAAAAAATGAATTAATTATCAATAGGGAGCATTGATTTTTTTATTGGTTGACAAAAAAATGTTGACTTTACAAAACAATTTGGGACGGAGGGAGTAATACAGTCAAAATTGTGTAATACTCTTCCATCCTTTGAAACTTTGCCATATTTCATTTTTGGGGCGTCCCAAAAAACTTTACTACTTTTCCTTTTAATCGATTATTTTGCGGTTCCTGTTATTTCTCTCTTCTTTGCACAAATCTCAGCCACCCAGAATTTACTTTATTATTCTCCGTGCCGATCAAACTTGGAATATTTTTAAGGAACGGAGGTAGTAGAAGTTTGTGCATATGTGAGAGAGATAATCAAAACCGCAAATTAAACTACTTTAAAGGAAAGTGGTCAAGTCTTTTGGAGGAAAAAAATGTCAACAAAGTCAAGTGAGATTGATGGATACAATAGTATTGAATAAAGGAAATAACGAATCAAATAAAGTTCATAGAGTATAGAGTGTTTGAAAGTAATTCTCCTTCTGTTCTTTTTGCAAATCGGATGTAGAATAAGAATTTGTTTCTCTGAAGCTTATCTACCTCAAACTCTCTTAATATCTGTGTCTGCTCGCCGAAAAAGCTTGTTAAGTTGGTGGGACAGTTAGACTTTTGAAAGGGTGCTACCAACACTAAGGTCTGTAGTCGATCCAAAGCCACTTCCTATTCCCTATGCAGTGCCTTTATTGGGAAGGGCTTCTAGCCGTAGTGACACCAAAGGCTGGGTGACGCCTCGACAGGAGATTCAAATCTGGCTAGCACATGGGGTCCACGGGTGAAGCGTCGCTTGTACAAAATCCTCATAGCAGCTACGTAGCAAAGCCCCTTTTGTCCTCCATCGCAAGCTGGGATTTCATAGGGCCCCAGACCTGCAATACTCTCCAAGCAACGGAGACCAAAATAGACCCGAACAACAGAGTGACTGATACAGACCGAATGATGGGGCAGAGGAGTTGCTGCGGAGATATTTTTCTTTTTAATTGGATATTAAAGTTTTATTAAAATAGTAATTTTAAAACAAAGTACTTTGCTTATGAGTGAAAAAAATTAGAGAACAACATAAAGCTAAAGGAGATAAAAAGGCTAATGGAAGAATAAAAGAAAATAAATGTCTACCTCCTCAAATATTGATAACCCAATCACAAAGCACAATATGCTCTGTCTCCCAAAACGCCCCAAAACGCTTAAAGTTAGTTTCCTGAAAACTCTGGTAATCTTCTCATTCCTAACACAACCTTCATAAACTTGAACATGAAAACACCTCATCTTTAGGCAATACGGTCAATCTAAGCTTGAAGTTATTCTGAGCATTAACTGGAATCTCAATGTCCAACTCGGATCACTTAGACGATTAAGCAATTCTCGGTAAGTCACAATCTGAAGGCTCGTCATTATTCGAACTATCAATATCTTTAGCTTGAGAAACACCATCTGGAAAAGAAGAGACGGAGAGGAATAAAAATGTCAATAAATCCTTCCTCATCGAAAACCTTTTCAATGATAGCCTTCTCAATGACATTTGCCCTTGCAATGGCTCTCTCAATAGAAACTATCTACTCAATATCGAATTGAAACAAAGCTTCAGAAATTGAAAGCTCAGCTTCTGCAAAGTGATGATAGTCCCCTTTGAACACAAAAATCCATCTCTAGGGTATTTCAACCTGAACCTCACCTGAATCTTGCTTCGTTACTTGTGTTGGTTTCTTGGTAATAATTTCTTTGAGTAAAACGGTTGCTCTTTTGGTCGCTGTTAAAAAGAGTAATCTCTTATCCATTGCACTCTTTAGGTATAAATAACGAGTCTCCTCCTTCATGAATGATGAAGATATAAGCTCCAAAATAATTAGCATAATAAATAAGGGACCGTTTGCAAATGCTTTTGCTTTAAAAAAGCACTTTTTGAAGTTATTTTGGAAAAGAGAAATGGTGCTAAATAGGAGCTTAACTTATGGTATGTAATTAAATAAGAGCTTGACTTTTTTTACTCCTAAATAGGACCTAATTTTAAGAAGTTTCCAAAATTGCCCCGGTTTCTTAAACTAATACAGAAGCTACAGATTGCCGTTATTTTCTTCTCTCGTTCAGCTTCGCCTTCAAATTAGATGATCTTCATCTCACCTTCGAATCATCTGCTGCTCTGCTGCGATCGATGAACTGCTGCAATATTCACCTGCCATCGATCAACTGCTGTGATATTCATAGACTATCGCTCACCTGTTAGTTGCTACGATCACATAGTTTTACCATTCGCTTGTTGTTTGCGACAATCATCTTCGCCTTCATCTTCGTTTTAAATTTCAGGTAATTAATTTTATATTCTTGAATTGTATGATGATTGTGTATCAGAATTGTTTTCATTGGTGTTTACTTGTTGATAGTCGTATGAAGTTTTATTGTAGTTCTATGATTAGGAGAGCTGGAAGTATTATGAATGCTTTATCGTCATTATCGTTTTTCCTGACTCTAATCTTCTTTAATGTTCATTATTTTTTCCTTCTTTTCATGTTTCTTATTACATACGCTTTACTCTTCTGGATTTATCTTTGGTTTGACATTGTAGATTGTTAGTACCCAATTTTGATAAGATTTTGATGATGCCACTATACTTAGCACGTGTACATTGTATCTCATTTTGTTCTAATATTAACGTGACAAATTAAATGTACAGTTTTTGAGTCTAAGAAATATTACCGGAAAAATAAAAATGCAATAAGGTAAAATTTCTTTACCTTAATAGGATATTTGAATCCTACCGGCAAATACTATTTGACTCAAAAATTACTCATATGTCACGAAGCTCGTAATATCAAATGAATGATTGAAGACAAAACTTGACCGGTATTTAATACCGAATCAAGTACTGGGGGCCGCGGCATGGGACGCACACATGAAACTGTTTCATGTGGAGAAACTTCAGCGGGTGAATTATTCAAGACAAATGCATCAGCCCGAATTAAAGCTTCAGCACAAGAAGACAAATGTACAATTTGTCCTTGTCAGAATTTCAACGTCAAAGATTAATCCATCCTAACCAACGGATGAGATTAATTCAAAGGAGATGCCTATAAATATAGGCTGAAACGAAAGTTTCTAACTAAGCTTTGAGCATCCAAAGAGAGAATCTCTATCACAAGCATACACGAGATATCTAGCAAAAGAGAAAGTGCAGTTCTAAACTTTACTCTCTGCTTGGACTCATGCTTCACTAAACTTCAAGTATACGAGCTCTTCATTGCTACATCATAGAAGTTTAGTTCCTAGTTGGAGGTTAGAACTTTCTCGTAACAAATCACATATTGTTGTAAACACTTAGGAGAACAGTTGTATCTACTTACAGTGTAAGTAGATAGATAGAGTACCTTTTGATCCCCACTGGTTCATTAGAGAAAAGTCTAAGGACTGGGTAACTTTGAGTGGTGCTATACTCATCGTGAAAAACCTTCAATCTAGGCCTAAGTGTTGTAAAGGCTAGATTGGCACTAAGTGTATTGGGCTTAATACTTTAGTGAAATCCATCTGAAAGAGGGTGGGACTGGACGTAGGAGGATTACACCACCTCTGAACCAGGATATATCGTGTGTTGAATTCACTTCAGTCAACAAAGCACACACCCAACACTTCTCACATAAAGATTGTAGTTTGCCAGCAGAATTCTAAGCAGTTGTCTTAATTGACCCAACTGCTTATCCTACTGCTTAATTACTCACTTTCTTTAAGACCAGATTCACACCTTTAACGTGCACCAACACCACTTAAAAGGATCACTCTCTCAGTTCTCTGAAACTCACCTTCTAAGTACAACAGGTGCCTCAGCAGTTCCCTGGAGTCCACTCAACTGCTGAGCCCTCTGCTCATATATACTTGTTTCGTGTCAACATCTCAAACATCACCAGATTGTCACTACTTCATCAAGAAGTTTGCTTAACCCAATAAGCTTTTGACCCAAGCAGGTGCCTCAGCAGTTCCCTCATATTCACCCAACTGCCGAGTCCACTGCTTCAGCAAAAAGCTATTCTCCCTTCATTTAAGCATACTTACCAAAAGGCCACACCATACTCATCAAACAACTATCTCTACCTTCATCATACACTCTACATTTCCTGAGCAGTTGCCTCAGCAGTTCCCTGCTCTTAGCCACCTGCTAAGCCAACTGCTAGCATTCTAAGCCAAACACTCTCCAAGTTAGAAAGTGGCTAAACACTCATTACACAAAGGGTAAAGACTCCCGCTGTGCATCTATAAATCTCTCAAAAGTTTATAGATTAACTCTCTTAGAGGGAAAACTTTCAAAAGTCGAAAAAGATTTAAAAGTCTATTCACCCCCCCTCTAGACTTTTACCCTATCCGGGACCATCAAGTGGTATCAGAGCGGAGTGTTTCTAGAGTCATTTATTGACTATTTTGAACTAAAGATCCAAAGCCACTTCTCCTCCCAAACACTTTCTAAACAATGGACAGTCAACTAGCCAAAAACCTCCTATTCAACTTAAACAAATTTGATGATTGGAGAATAAGGATGAAGGCACATCTCAGTGCCTTACATGATGAGATGCTGGAAGTAATTACTACTGGACCTATCAGGATAATGAAGGTCAGCACATCTAAAACTGAAGACCAGGAGGATGTGTACATTCCTAAGCCCAAACTAGAATGGACAACTGAGGACAGAAAGAGAAATAACCTTGATCACATTGCCAAGGATATTCTCTTCAAATCTGTTGATGAATCCATATTTCCCAGGATTAGGAAATGTGAAACTGCAAAGGACGTTTGGGATGAGCTCACGAAAATTGGAGCTGGTGATGAACAGGAGAAAGACAATAAACTAACCATGGCCCTCAAGAAATTTGAGGACTTCAAAATGCTGCAAAATGAATCCATCCATGATATGGAATCCAGGTTCCTAAAGATCACAACAGAGGTCTCAGACCTAGGGAAAGATCTACCTCAAAAAGAGATTTCCCTTAAAGTCTTGAGAGGTCTGCCCTCTAAATGGGACATGAAGGTGACTGCTATGAGAGATAGCAGAGATCTAAGAACCTTATCAACTGATAAGCTCTTCAGTGATCTCAAAGCCTATGAATTTGAGATGAAGGAAATAAAAGAAGAAAAGGAAGATGAATCCAAGACACTAGCTCTAGTGTCTGAGCCCGGCCCTTCAAAATCCAGTGAGAAATCCCTCAACAACCTCCTTACTGACGAGCAGTTTTCTATGTTTGTAAGGAAGTTTAAAAGGTTCATGAAGAAGGAGGGAACTGCTCCAAAAAGACCATACAATCTGCCATACAGGAGACAAGGGAGACCTCAAACTAGCGAGGAAACTATCTTGTGCTACAACTGTAGACAACCAGGACATTACAAAAATGAATGCCCTCTGCCCTTAGCCCAGAAATATCAAGGGCAGCAGGGGAATGCTCCCAAAGCTGGTTACAAGAAGGACTTCAAAGGCATGAGAAAAGCCTTTGTAAGTGAAAAGAAAAAGGAGGAACCCCAATCTGAAGATGAAAGCAACTCAAGTGATGAAATCTCTTCATCTGAAAGCTCAGAGGAAGCACTTCTATTCCTGGGATCCTGGCAGGTGGCTAAAGAAGGCAGCAGTTAGCTCACTGCAGAGAGAAGCAAGTGGATCAGTGAACCTTCCACCAACTCAAATGAAAACAATGAAAGCTGCTCTCCTAGATGCTTGATGGCTAAAAATCACTACAATGATGTTGAGGTAACATCCTGCTCTTCCTATAGCTCTAGTGATTCTGGACCTAACAATATAACTTTGGAATCTTTATTACAAGATTTTCAAAAAGTCCAAGATCACCATGTTCTCTTGAATGCTGAAAATGATAGACTGAAACAAGACATTAAGGCCATTCATTCTAAATTACTAGATGCCTTAAGCAAAAATGACATCTTAGAAAAAGAGAACAAAGAGCTGAGAAACTCCAGCACAAATAGTAAAACCTCTCACCTTACTGCTGAAGTTACTCTAAATAGGAAGAGAAGAGGTCTTGGTTACTCACCCCCCACCAGACTCACTCAAAACTGCACATCTACAAGCCACAATTCATACACAAGAAAGCTCACTTACCAAAAAACCCATCCCCCAAATGTTCCCAAAAGAAGGAACCAACATGCTCCCAAACCAAAATCCAAACACCTGTATAAATCAACTCCTCCTCACCATCTAAACCAAAGAACCTGTTGGCAACCAATCAATAAGACCAACCAAAATACCAAGCAGACTCCTCAAGTCAATAATCCACTTCCCACTTCAAGAAGGAAAAGGATTAACAAGTACATAGCCATTTCTTTTTATTACAACACCACAAATGGCTATAGACCAATCCGCTTAGAACTCAATGGTTCTAGATGGGCATGGATGCCCAAACTCGTACAAGGGAAGTCGCCCACTAACTTGTGGGCTACTGCTCAACATTAATTTATACAGGAGGGTGCTGGAGCAGCTGAAACACAAACATGGTACATAGATTCAGGCTGCTCCAGGCACATGACGGGCAGCAGGCGGCTCCTGTCAAACTATACTGTAACACCCCGACCCCGTAGGCCCCGAGGTAGTTACTCCAGACCTCTAGTACTGTCCTCACAAACCGCCACTAGCCTTTTCCGCGCACTTTGTCCTCACTCGTGCGCGCCCCGAGAAACTTCCCAGGGGGTCACCCATCCCAAGATTACTCCCGTGCAAGCACGCTTAACTTTGAAGTTCTTGGGTGATGAGCTCCCTTAAAAGGAGATGCATCTTGTTGGTATGAGTAGTACTATTAATCCATTTAAATTAAATCTCAAGTGTTACAATCACCCCCACTTAGGATCGCAATGTCCTCGTTGCGCCCTTAACAATCTCAATCAAACCCCAGAATCTTGCCCCGCTAAGTGCCCGCCCGATATCCAACGGGTCAACACACTGTCGCAGGGTTGCTCTGATACCACCTGTAACACCCCGGCCCCGTAGGCCCCGAGGTAGTTACTCCAGACCTCTAGTACTGTCCTCACAAACCGCCACTAGCCTTTTCCGCGCACTTTGTCCTCACTCGTGCGCGCCCCGAGAAACTTCCCAGGGGGTCACCCATCCCAAGATTACTCCCGTGCAAGCACGCTTAACTTTGAAGTTCTTGGGTGATGAGCTCCCTTAAAAGGAGATGCATCTTGTTGGTATGAGTAGTACTATTAATCCATTTAAATTAAATCTCAAGTGTTACATATACAGCAAGGGAAGGACCCAAGGTAACATTTGGGAATGTGGAAAAACAAGGAGAAACCAAAGGAGCTGGAGACTTATCAATTAATGGACTTACAATCCAAAACATATCCTATGTTAAGGGTTTAAAATTCAATCTTATAAGCACAAGCCAGCTCTGTGACAATGGCGATAACGTTACATTCTCCAAAGACATCTGCTTAATCAGAGATGTCAAAAATGACAAAATTGTGCTCACTGGTAGAAGGAAGAAGGACATGTACATTGTTGATTGGAGCTCTGCAAAGGAAGGAATCTGCTTAGTAACAACGGCAGATTCAAACTTAAGTTGGGAATGGCACAACAAATTAAGCCATCTAAACTTCAAAACAATCAACAAACTGTCCAGAAAAGGTTTAGTGAAAGGACTTCCTGAAATCAACTTCAAAAAGGACCACCTCTGTGATGCTTGTCAAAAAGGGAAACAAACCAAGGTATCATTCAAATCAAAAGAAGTTGAATCATCAACTAGGCCCTTAAGCCTACTACACCTTGACTTGTTTGGACCAGTTGAACCAACAAGCTTAGGTGGTAGAAGGTACACCCTGGTTGTAGTTGATGATTATTCTAGATACACTTGGACCATATTCTTAAAGAAGAAGAATGAAACAGAGAAGAAACTGCCTGAATTGATGAGGCTAATTCAAAATGAGAAAAGTCTCTCAATCCAGAAGATCAGGTCAGATAGAGGTACTGAATTTCTAAACTCCATCATAATTCAGTACTGTGAAGAAAATGGAATCCATCATCAAACCTCAGCAGCAAGAACACCTCAACAAAATGGTGTTGCTGAAAGAAGGAACTGAACACTTAAGGAAGAAGGAACGACAATCTTAGAAGCAACTGGATTACCCAAAAGATTTTGGGCAGAAGCAATCAACACTGTTTGCTACACTCAAAATAGAAGTCTTATTCATAAGACTCACAAAAAGACACCATATGAGCTATGGAAAGAAAGGAAGCCTAATGTCAGTCATTTCCATGTGTTTGGATCCAAATGTTTTATCCTAAACAATGGAAAAGACTATCTCAAGCCATTTGATCCCAAATCTGATGAAGGGATCTTCCTGGGCTACTCAACAACTAGCAAGGCATTCCAGATTCTCAACAAAAGAACTCTGGTGGTAGAAGAATCAATCCATGTGGTATTTGAAAACCACCCCACTGCTCAAGTAAAAGATGAAGGTGAGTCATCAAAATCAAAGGACACTAGAAAGGCTCCAAGCTGCCTTCCAAACAATAGTGTTAAAAAGGATGAAAAGGCAGTTGACTCAAAAGGCAGCCAACTGCCAGCAGTTGACTCAACTGAAAGCCCACTGCGAGCAGGTGATTCACCAAAAGACAACCTTCCAAGCACTCATGACATTCCCAATCTTCCTATTCTACCAGATGATAGTGAAGAGGAAGAAGAGGAGGATGATGAACAACAAATTCAATCCAAAACAACCACATCTGATGTTAGATGGTTGAGCAAACATCCTCCTCACCAAATCATTGGAAATATCAATACTGGGGTTCGTACCAGATCAAAAATTCAGAGAGAAGCACTATTCTCATGCTTCATATCTCAAATTGAACCCAAGAAAGTTGAAGAAGCCCTACTCGACTCAGACTGGATACAAGCCATGCAAGAGGAACTCAATCAGTTTGAGAGAAACAATGTATGGGAACTTGTACCCAGACCCTATCATCAACATGTGATAGGAACTAAATGGGTGTTCAGGAACAAAATGGATGAGGAAGGCACCATAGTCAAGAATAAGGCAAGATTGGTAGCTAAAGGCTACTGCCAGGAAGAAGGTATAGATTTTGATGAAACCTTTGCTCCTGTTGCCAGATTGGATGCTATAAGAATCTTCTTGGCTTATGTTGCTCATAAGCAATTCACAGTCTATCAAATGGATGTGAAAAGTGCCTTCCTAAATGGTCTATTAGAAGAGGAGGTCTATGTGGAGCAACCTCCTGGTTTTGAAATCAATAGAGAGAAGGATCAAGTCTACAAATTGCACAAGGCTCTTTATGGACTCAAGCAAGCCCCAAGAGCATGGTATGACACTCTCTCTGAATATTTAGTGAAGAATGGATTCACTAAAGGCAAAGTAGACAAGACTTTATTCAAAACTGAAGAAGGTCCCCACATATTGCTTGTTCAAATCTATGTTGATGCCATAATCTTTGGATGTTCAAATCAAGCATTATGTGAGAAATTTTCAACTCTCATGCAAAGTAAATTTGAAATGAGCATGAAGGGAGAGTTGAATTATTTTCTGGGATTACAAGTAAAGCAGACTCCAAATGGTATCTTTATCAACCAAGTTAAGTAAACAAGAGATCTCATGAAAAGGTTCAAAGTTGAGAACAAGTCCACTGTGAAAATTCCCATGAATACATCCCAAGGTTTAAGTCAGGATGAAGATGGCAAAGATGTTGATCCTACATTTTATAGAGGGTTAATTGGCTCCTTGTTATATCTCACCATTAGTAGGCCAGACATATCCTACTCAGTTGGTGTATGTGCAAGGTTTCAATCAAAGCCCAAAGAAAGCCATCTCCTAGCTGCAAAGAAGATACTGAGGTATCCAAAAGGCAATCCTAACTCTGGATTATGGTACCTAACAAATGGAGGTTTTGACCTCTATGGATATTCAGACTCTGACTTTGCCGGGTGCAAAATTGATTGAAAAAGTACATCAGGTACCTGTCAATTAATTGGTGGAAGACTTGTCTCTTGGTTCAGCAAGAAACAAAATTCAATTGCTACTAGCACTGCTGAAGCTGAATACATAGCTGCAGGCAGTTGCTGTGCTCAAATCCTATGGATGAAACAGCAATTGAAGGATTATGGAGAAGAAACAAAGGAAATCAGCATTTTGTGTGATAATACAAGTGCTATAGCTATCACTCATAATCCAGTATTTCACTCAAAACCAAACACATTGAGATCATGCATCACTTTATCCGAGAGCATGTTGAAAAGAAGACCATCAAGCTAGAGTACATTCCCACTGAGAAGCAGTTGGCTGACATATTCACCAAGCCATTGAATGAAACCAGATTCAATGAACTAAGACAGGAGCTTGGAATGCTAGATGATCTAGATCAAGTGAAGGAATAGCCCTACACCCATTCAAGGGGAACATAACTCCATAATCAAGGGGGAATTCCTAGCCACCTGCTGAGGGGGAATTTCTGTGAAGTACTCTGGAGTAGGCACCTGCTAAAGGTAGACTACTCAAAACATAAAAGGAATGAAGCGTCAAGGTCCAAATAAGTCACTATCAGGATATCAAGATCAAAAGGAGTCAAAATTCACAAAATTGGCTCAACAGTTGACTGCATTATAGCAAGCAGTGGGCTCAGCAGGCGAATGGCCACTAGCCCACTGCTACTTGTAAATAGAAAGAAAATGCACACTCTCTGAACAAGGAGGAAACCAACTACAAAGGGAAGGAAAACGAATGGAGGTAAAATTCCCGGCTCAATATTTCGTACAGGTAACTGCCAGCAGGTGACTGTCTCTGGAGCATGGCACTGCTTCAGGCCAGCAGTTGGCTCAATTTCTGACAAATGCCCATGGAATCTCAACAAGTGACATACATCATATTGATCCACTAAGATCAAAGATTCCAAAAAGCCAACTCGTGTCTTCAGAAACCTTCAAAATTTTAGCCAAAATTGAGCCCCCTGCTAACAGTGTGAACGCAGTTAATGCTGAAAAGGCCAGCCGTATTCTGCAACGGCTATATTCCAACGGCTAGTTCTCGATAGCCTATAAATACTCCCTCCGTACAAACCCCTCACACTTTTCACTCTGCAATCTCTTTCTACCTATTCTAAAGCTCTCAAACTCTCTATTAACACTCTTAAAAGCTCTCTCTCGTACACCACCACCGCAAATCCTTCCTTTCCCCATTTACACAGAAATGGCCTCACTCATCCAAATAGCCAAGTCCATCTTTACTGGATCGATCCTCAACATTCCTAAAGTCCTTGAAAGAGCTGACAACAAAGACCTAATGAGGGAACTGCTCACAAAACTTGAGACCACGGGACTGCTAAAAATGGCAACCTACGCATATCCTTGCTTCTACCCCGAGGTAGTGGCAGAGTTCTACACCAACTCCACCCCTGGGACACTGAAGTCCGTGGTAATGGGATTCGAGGTCGAGATAAAGGAAGAAGACATAAGGAAACTGCTCTCTCTACCTGGAGAAGAGGCTCCAACTGTAGAAGACCTCAACCTAAATGAAGAGAACTTCAAAGAAACAGTATTCATCCCAAGGGCTCAACACCTAAACACATTGAAAGTCAAGAAAAAGATGATGGTTCCAGAATACGCCATCCTCCTAGACATTCTCTACAAGTGTGTCGACACAAGAACTACAGCCCTGAACGAAGTCAATGCACAAAGAGCCAAGCCATTGACGGCAATCATCTCAGGGATCCCATTCAACTGGTCAAGGTACGTCCAAAACGAACTCCTAAAATACATAAAGAAAGTTCACACAGGAAAGGGAGAAGATGGTACCCTACCACTACTGGGATACGGGTTTATGATAGGGGAACTGCTCAAGAAGAAAGGAATAGTAGGATCCATCAAGGAAGAAACAACTTGGAGAAAAATTCTCTATCAAACTTCAAAGGCAGGGGCCCCACAAGTTCAGAAAATAGAGGACTCCTTCATCTCCAACGAACCTCTTCAAATCACCCTTGACAGGATCAAAACAAAGACTGCCAAGAGAATCAGATCAGGATGTCAAGCAGAAAAATCAAAGAAACCAAGAACAGCAACAAGAAATCTTCAGGCCGAAATGGATGAAGATGCATCTTCCTTTCACCCAAGTCAAGAAGAAGCAGTGGCCTCCCTTCTTGCCCTGGTCAACGAAGAAGCAGTGGTCACCCCTCTAGCCATCATTCAAGAAGAAGAAGCAGAGATGTCTGCTGCCTCCTCAAACGCAAGTAATGATTCTCAGATTCCTCTCTCTATACTCCTTCCCAGTATCACACAAAGGGATCAGCAAGAGGAGCACTTGGTTCGCCAAGAAACAGAGCAGGGGACTCAACCAGAGCAGGTGACTCCCCTAGTTGAGCAGGCCCCTCCATCTCCAGCAGTGGCCTCACATCACCTAACTCCATTGGAGCAGCTGGATGAAGAATTTACCAGAGTCAAGGCGTGGAGATCATGGAAGCTGTCAAGGATTCTACATCAAGCTAAAACAATCGCACACTTCATTGAAGAGGAAGACTTTGTAGTAGATTGGCTTGGAACTGATGACATGGCAGACGCAACAAGGTTACTAAAAATAAACCAAGTCTATGCAATCAAAAGGAAGCATCTCACAGCCAAGGATGCTATTGAAGATTCCAGTGATGATGATCTGGATAATGATGACAATAATCCTGATAATGCTCCTAAGGGACCACCTCGCTCCACAGGTAAACATATCATTCATTCAACCTCCTCCTCAAGTGATAAAGAACTCAGGCAGGCCCTTGAGAAATCCAGAATGGAAACTCAAGGAGGAGGAGAGTCCTCCAAAGCCCCACAAGAGCAGCTGGCTGCCACCTTAGAGCAGGCGCCTCAACTCCTTGACCTAAATTCAGAACCTCAGCAAGATGTTGCCCCAACACCGCAGCCTACAACTTTAAATAACATACGGGAGAAAATCTTAAATGAAGGAGAAAAGGACACCCCCACACTAGATGAGGTATTCATGCATGAACGAAGAGAAACTACAAAGTTCATAAGCAATGCAGAGGTTAGACTTCACAAGCGATTGATCAAAATGCAAAAGCATTTTGACCAACTTCTGGAAGCAAGGTTTGCAGAGGTTCACTGCCACATCAAAAACAACCTCATGATCCAGCAGGTGTTCAACTAAGAACAAAAGGCCCAGCTAAAGATGCAGATTTCCCAGCAATCCGCTCAAATCGAAGAAATTCACAACGAACTAGCAGCTCAAAGAGCTAAGGACTGGGAACTTGAGCTACAAATTCAAACTCTACTAAGGCAACTACATGATCAAGAGCAAACATGAGCACCTCTACATTCTCTGCCACCTAACATCGAAAAGGCTCTCCAACAAGTCAATGCACATGAAGCCTACATCAATACTCAACAAGGCCAGGCAGAAGCAATTCAGAGAGGCCTTCAGGACCTTCAAGCTCTATACTTAGAGCTACAAGGTCAGCTTCAAGCACTCCAGCAACCAACAAGTGCAATCCAGCCACCTGCCCAAGTAGAAGTAGAGCCCTCTGCCCAGGTACTTTCTAACTCTATCTTACCAACTAACCTCAAGCAGGCCCTTCAAACTATCCAGGTGCATGAGAGGTTCCTACACTATCTCAAGGCAAAGGAGCTGCCTGCCATCCTAAATCTGTCCAAGAAGTTGGTCACCAAACAAGTGGAGCACTCAGAAGCAATAGGAAAGACTAGAGCAGATGTTGCTGATCATCTAGGCAGGCTACACACAGCTACTCAAGAAGCTCTTCAAAAGCAAGGAGATGAACTCAAGACACTGGGCCTACACCAATAAGCGACAACTCAACAACTTCACAGGCTTGACCAGGAAATCAAAGAAGAAGTCAAGGTAGATGTCACTGATCTTCGAAACTTAGTCACTTCACTTTCCATCGAAGTCAACGACCTCCATCCAACAAGAAGAAGACAAATTGAGGTTGACTCTGACCTAGAGATCAAAGCACTATTCAAAGAAAGTGAGGCCCCTGCTGATGCCAAAAAGGGGGAAAGAACTACACAAGAAGGCCCCTCATCCACAAGGTCTCTAGCAGCCAAGAAAGCAGCTGAAACTAGAAAGAAGAACAAACGGCTACAAGAAGAAATGGAGATAAGAAGAAGAAAAGCAGAAGAGGCAAAGGCAAAGGAGGCAGCCAAGAAAAAGTCACAAGAAGACAAAGAAGAATAGAATAGATTTAGAGTCTGAAACTGACTATAAACTATTGTACTCTAGAAATTAGAACAATGTACAAAACTTCAAAGAAAATCAATAAAAATGTTTGTTACTTATGTTGTATAGTTTTGGCATCATCAAAAGGGGGGAAATTGTTAGTACCCAATTTTGATAATATTTTGATGATGCCACTATACTTAGCACGTGTACATTGTATCTCATTTTGTTCTAATATTAACGTGACAAATTAAATGTACAGTTTTGAGTCTAAGAAATATTACTGGAAAAATACAAATGCAATAAGGTAAAATTTCTTTACCTTAATAGGATATTTGAGTCCTACCGGCAAATACTATTTGACTCAAAAATTACTCATATGTCACGAAGCTCGTAATATCAAATGAATGATTGAAGACAAAACTTGACCGATATTTAATACCGAATCAAGTACTGGGGGCCGCAGCATGGGACGCACACATGAAACTGTTTCATGTGGAGAGAAACTTCAGCGGGTGAATTATTCAAGACAAATGCATCACCCCGAATTAAAGCTCCAACACAAGAAGATGAATGTACAATTTGTCCTTGTCAGAATTTCAACGTCAAAGATTAATCCATCCTAACCAACGGATGAGATTAATTAAAAGAAGATGCCTATAAATATAGGCTGAAACGAAAGTTTCTAACCAAGCTTTGAGCATCCAAAGAGAGAATCTCTATCACAAGCATACACGAGATATCTAGCAAAAGAGAAAGTGCAGTTCTAAACTTTACTCTCTGCTTGGACTCATGCTTCACTAAACTTCAAGTATACGAGCTCTTCATTGCTACATCATAGAAGTTTAGTTCCTAGTTGGAGGTTAGAACTTTCTTGTAACAAATCACATATTGTTGTAAACACTTAGAAGAACAGTTGTTCGGATCCTACAGTGTAAGTATATAGATAGAGTACCTTTTGATCCCCACTGGTTCATTAGAGAAAAGTCTAAGGACTGAGTAACTTTGAGTGGTGCTATACTCATCGTGAAAAACCTTCAATCTAGGCCTAACTGTTGTAAAGGCTAGATTGGCACTAAGTGTATTGGGCTTAATACTTTAGTGAAATCCATCTGAAAGAGTGTGGGACTGGACGTAGGAGGATTACACCACCTCTGAACCAGGATATATCGTGTGTTGAATTCACTTCAGTCAACAAAGCACACACCCAACACTTCTCACATAAAGATTGTAGTTTGCCAGCAGAATCCTAAGCAGTTGTCTTAATTGACCCAACTGCTTATCCAACTGCTTAATTACTCACTTTCTTTAAGACCAGATTCACACCTTTAACGTGCACCAACACCACTTAAAAGGATCACTCTCTCAGTTCTCTGAAACTCACCTTCTAAGTACAACAGGTGCCTCAGCAGTTCCCTGGAGTCCACTCAACTGCTGAGCCCTCTGCTCATATATACTTGTTTCATGTCAACATCTCAAACATCACCAGATTGTCACTACTTCATCAAGAAGTTTGCTTAACCCAATAAGCTTTTGACCCAAGCAGGTGGCTCAGCAGTTCCCTCATATTCACCCAACTGCCGAGTCCACTGCTTCAGCAAAAAGCTAGTCTCCCTTTATTTAAGCATACTTACCAAAAGGCCACACCATACTCATCAAACAACTATCTCTACCTTCATCATACACTCTGCATTTCCTGAGCAGTTGCCTCAGCATTTCCCTGCTCTTAGCCACCTGCTAAGCCAACTGCTAGCATTCTAAGCCAAACACTCTCCAAGTTAGAAAGTGGCTAAACACTCATTACACAAAGGGTAAAGACTTCCGCTGTGCATCTATAAATCTCTCAAAAGTTTATAGATTAACTCTTAGAGGGAAAACTTTCAAAAGTCGAAAAAGATTTAAAAGTCTATTCACCCCCCCTATAAACTTTTACCCTATCCGGGACCATCATAGATAATTCATGAAATTGTTTTAAATTCATGTCATTTGTTGTATTTCCAGGTGTCACAGACATGGATAATAATATTCTTGTCATGGTTAAAGTTGATGGATACTGGAATCCTGATAATGTGTTTCATAATAAACACACGATTGTTGTTTCTATTTTGTTTGGTTCTTCCTATAGTGATTTCTGTGATAATTTGATACATAACATTTTCAAGGGAAGAATCGATAAAGATTTTAGGATATCTTACATTGTTGAGTCATGTCTGCCCCCTATTTTTATAGATGATGATACAAGCCTTACTTTTTATCTAACTTTGAAAACCTTACATCAAGTTTTTTCCCAGTTTCCAATTTGTGTTGAGTTCATTGCACCTCAAGTTCCTTCAAAATGTCATACTTCTCATAATACTTCTATTCTCATACCTTCAGAAGGTATATCATTTGATTCACCAAGTGTTCCCTCTTCTTCTTCAGTTGATTCTTTTTTGTCAACTAGTGTTCATAAGGATGTTAAAGTTTATACACACACTGATCCTACCACTATAGCATTGTACGCTATATACAAGAATAAATATGATCTTATATATCACTTGAAGTTGTATGCCATTGAGAACAACTTTCAGTATGTGACTAAAACTTCAAGAAAAGAAAGTTTACATGTTTTTTGTCTTGATGAGAAATGTGAGTGGGCTGTTCGTGGTGTTCGTCTTCCTGATGTGAACTTCTTTCAGATTCGCAGGTTCAATTGCAACTTTAACATTTTTATTTATTTATTTATAGTTGTAATTATCAGTTACATTAACTTTATTTTTCACTTCTTCTTTTTCAGATTTGATTCAATTCATTCTTGTTCAGTGGATTTCAGAGAGGGTGATCACAAGCAGGCCACTTATGACATTGTTGCAGGCATGGTTCTTCATCGTTACTCCAATGCTTCTAAGAAACCCTATCCGCCAAATGACATAATTGACGACATCCGTAGAGAATATGGCATCTCTTTGTGTTACCGTAAAGCTTTGGCAGTTAAGCGACATTCAATGAAGCTTCTCTTTGGATCAGATGAAGTGTCATATCAATTATTACCTTCCATGTGCCATGTCATTGGAAAAGCTAATCCACAGTCTGTCATAACTCTTGTTCGTCATGCTGATTCTGTTTTCAAGTACATGTTCATGTCATTGTCTGCATGGAGGGAAGCTTGGGATCACTGTATTCTTGTCGTAACATTTGATGGTACTTTTATGAAAGGCTATTTCAAAGGGACTTTGCTCACTGCCTGTACCAGGGATGCCAACCGTCAGCTTGTTCCATTAGCTTTTGGGATATGTAATTCAGAAAACAAGGATTCCTGGAAATGGTTCTTTTCAGAGTTGAAACTAGCTTTATCTTATAGGCACAATTTATATATTGTTTCTGACAGGAATGCTGGAATTATTAAGTCTGTTAAAGATTTCTTTCCTTCAGCTGGACATGGTTATTGTGTTCACCATTTAGCTGGTAACATTCGGTCACAGTTTAAGGGTTCTGCTGATGGTAAAGAGTGGAAGTTTAATGCTGTAGCACGAGCTTCTACTTACAAGGAGTATCAAGAATATATGGCTCTGTTGGATTTGGAGGATCCTCGTATAAGAGCATATTTAGATAAGATTGGAAGTGATAAGTGGGCAAGGTGCATGAGTGGTCCGTATAGATATAATATCATGACTGTTGGGAATAATTTATGGTGTTCAATCTAGTTAGTTATCTTTGTATTTGTGTAGTTATTAATTAAACGTGTAATACGGGCCACAAATGTGTATCAGCCCGTGGGCTTCCTTGTAACTCGTAAGTTAGCCAACTTCTCCTATTAAAGGAGGCTAACTTACGGGAACCCTAACTAATCGATAGAGGCTTAGAGACGCAGAGGCGAGATAGAGAGAAATAAGGGTTGCCGCTGCTCTCCTTCTCCAGGGAGAGTAGCGGCAGGTTCATACGGTATACCAGATTCGGTTCTTATCTTGTCGATTTCTTCCTATCTGCTTCTTTATCATTGTTATGGTTGTATGATTGCTAGTTTTTTGGGACTAACATTTGGTATCAGAGCCGAGGCGTGAAACATGTTGGATCTGTCTGCGATTTTTGGATCTAACGAAGAACTGCTCTGTTTTTTCTTCAGTTTTTCTATATGTAGAGATTTGCTCCTGTAATCTCGTTTGTGAACGAAATTTTGTAAAAATCATACTGTTGGATTCGCCTTTCAAAACCGATCCAGCAACATACCTCTTTTTTCGTTTTCTGCAATTTTTATATTTCGAAGATCTCTACATTGAGATCTCGAAATCCTTTTTTTTCACTGCTGCAGAAACGTTTTTGGCTTGAAACTGGTACAGGAGAATCTCGACTTTCAGGGCTATTCAGAACAGGTTTCAGATTTTCAAAAATCAATGTTTTCGTTTTGCAGGATCTCGACATTTAGGGACTCGATTTCTTCTTCTCGACTTTTGAGATCTCGAGATTTGCATCTCGACATCTTGATCTCGAGATCTGCATCTCGACATCTTGATCTCGAGATCTGCATCTCGACATCTTGATCTCGAGATCTGCATCTCGACATCTTGATCTCGAGATTTGAATCTCGAAATCAAGATCGCGAGATTTGAATCTCGAAATCAAGATCTCGAGATTTGAATCTCGACATCAAGATCTCGAGATTTGTGATCTCGAGATTTGGAATTTCGAATTTAGGAATTTCGAGTTTTGGGATTTCGACATTTGGGATTTCGATGTTTTGGATCTCGACATTCTGAAGATTTCGAGATTTTCAAAATTTCTCGATGTTTTGAATCTTTCAAAGTTTGCAGTTTCTTGGAACTCATAATTCGAATCTTGACATCCTTTGCAGTTCATCGAAGCTTTAGATTATAAGGATCTCTGAATGATTCTCTGCTTATAAATGTTTCAGGAGTATTCGATGTTCTGATGTTTTTCAAACAGCAAGTTTTCGAGATTATGAGGTTTTCGAAACTCCAAAGTTTTCGATGTTCAAACATTTTGAAATTCTGCAGATTTCGATATTCTGAGGTTTGTTTTGCAGGTGGATTTCGCCATTATTCTTCGAGGCAATCTCTAGAAGTTTGTTTAAAATCCACCTGCTCTCGACATTCAACATCGAGCACCTCATCTTCGAAGAAATTCCTCAAAAACTCAAAATTAGAGATTTTCTGCGACACCGCACTGTTTTGGCCACAACTTTTGACT